TTACCGGCTCCACAACACAAAAGTGCCATGCATATTCGGAGCTGATGATCGTGTGAAGTAAAATTCGAAAGGCGGCCGCTTAGGTTACGAAACGAAAAATATTCACCACTTAACGGCTTGTTAAAACGCGCATTCTTATAGGGCTCGAGTTCCTACAGGGCAGCTGCATCTTGCATTCAGCCGACGAGTTGAATCGAATGCTAGCAAAATCAAGTTGACGCATTCGTTGGTCAGCTAAGCCAATAAACACGCGCATTCACATCCACATTTTATCACCGAAGGGAGGCATGAAAATTAAGTTTATGATTACAAAATAAATCCGGGAACCGCAACATCTACACAGCTTCGCATGTTTTCATATACATACATATATATTGTAGCTGCAGCGCAACACCGGGAGCTGCAACTTCAAACAACCAGATTTTCAGTGCAAATCGAAGACAAATAACTACTCGCACCTGGCGGAACTGTCAGGCCATAATTTGCACTTTAATGGGGAGGTTACACATGTGTTCATAGCCCATGCAACAACAATAACAACTGTAATTTAGTATTTTAGTGATACAACAACATGGTGAGAGATGTGGTAAGTTGCCATTTATTGCCCGCCACAGGAATTTTTCCAAAGTCACCCGAGATAATATCATCAACGGCTTGTAGTGAATAGTTGCAACACCACTATCATGAACGGATTGACAAATAATTATGAAAAGTCACTTAAGCAAAGCGGGTTTAGGTACACACACACGCACACACACACACACACACACACTTGCATGTAAGTTTACGCACTTACCCAAAGCGGCGGGTAGCAGGCGGCAAAGCGTATCCAGTACAAACAGGTGGGGTTGCCGGCTGTAAATAATTAATATCTACTACAGCATCCGGTCACAAAGCTGTCCCTACTCCCTTTTTGCCTTAAACAACAACTCCCATTACACACCAGTAGATGTGTAGATGCTCACCTGTTTGACTTTAGAACTTGATGTTGGTTGTAATTTCACCAACCCTTTTCCTGCCACATCGCAGGTGCATCTAAGTTTACACTTGCCAAGTTTTCACAATTGGATTTAATTATATGTGTGAAGAGCGCACAAGTGTTATCGATGTTATCTTAATAAAATCTTGGCCTAAGAACAATACACTCATACAATGATAAATATTCATTTTGAACTTAAACTGAAGACATTTCAACAGCATGGAAGCAGCTCAAAATATGCCACACCCTTCCAATCTCACCAAAATGACAGCATAATCTTCTTTTGATGAATATCAGCCTTTGAAGTGATTTGTGGCGCTTCATCATGCTTGGACCATTATCGTTTTCGATTGACGTTTATGTAAACAATCCATTTTTCATCTTCAGTTATGGTTTGCTTCAAAAACGGATCATATTCATTGCGTTTAAGATGCACATCATAAGCGTGTTGAAGCGGCTTGTTAAATGAATTTCTTTCAATTAATTTGGTACCCAAATAACAAGTTTTTTTACCAGTCTAAGATGTCGTATATGATTATGAATGGTTGATTTTGATATACTTAACTTCTCTCCAATCTCACGCTCAGTTACATGATTACACGATTCGATTCGATTAAAGCCTTGATATCGTCATCATAAACTTCACTTGGCCGACCTCAACGAAATATGACAAGCCAGCTGCGACACCGTGTTTCTTTTAAGACTTTATCACCATACAATTTTTTTTTGCATTTTCTCTTTTAGGGCAATACTAAAGGAAAATATGGCGAAAATGTTTTTTTGTGGGCTCCATATTAAAATTGAGGCCAAACAAACAAAATTACGCGTACTTTTTTCTAAAGCTTAACTTAATGCGACAGCTTATAACTGTCAAAAGAGAAAAAGAGAAAAGGCAATTAAAGTCTCAGGGTATTCAAAAAAACTGTCAAGGCCATCTGTATGAAAAATCGCCGGCTTCTCTTGGGGCAACCCAATAAATTATATAATGCACTTGGACGAAGCGCATTTAACCGAAAGTCGAAGATCTGCACTCAGTCGTCAGTAATTAGGACTTGTATTAGCCGAAAGGTTTCATATTCGACTTGCTTTCCTGCCCTTTGAGAGCACTGATCAGCAAATCGGTGCAAGGGAACTATGGAACAGAAGCTCCCTACGTACAGCTGCAAACGAAACTATTGGTTTTTGAAAAGGTCGCAAAAAACAGATGGCACGATGAGAGCTACCGTGTCGCAGAGAAGAGAAAACATGCAGTCTACTTTACAACCTTGCGATTGACCACAATACGTGCGAGATGTAATAGATACTGAGAACTGAAGATGCCTCCCTCTTGACGCATGAGCAGACAAAAAAGAAAAACGCCGAGAAGCGTGAAAACTCACGTAGGAATCAATGTGGGAAATCGATGACTGATATCCAGAACAAACTGGGTGTATGAAAGGAACACTTTCCCAATTTGCTGAATGGTAGTGAAAATGCAACAAACGTATTATGACCAGGATCGAAAAGCTACGCCCGCTTAAAGAACAATGCAGCGGCTGGAGCCGTTGGCTTACCTTCTGAGCTCTGTAAACATTGTGGTGAAGTGCTTTCAAGGTGCATGCATCAGTTTCATTGCAAAATATGGTCGAACGAAACAATGTGCGACGATTGGAACTTAAGTGTGCTCTCCCCAATCGACAAAGAGGGGATCCCACGATCTGCGCCAATTACTGTGGGATTAACCTCCTACATATCGCAATATAAGGTTTCATCGAACCTTATGTGTGCAATACTAAAGTCCAATGTCAACAAAGTGATTGGATCTTATCAGCATGGCTTTAGACCTGGGAAATTTACCATTGGCCAGATATTCACCATGCGCCAAATCTTGGAAAAGAAATGATTGTCGCCGATATCAGTCTGAAACTTCAAGCCACTACTGTGTGTATGTAGCGCCACCTATTGACGAACAGCAAAACTTTGTAAAATAAATGAGACTGTGTTGGGCAAATACGCACAAATATGCATTTTTATGGCTTTTATCAGCAGTTGTAGTGTAGTCAACCGACTGGAATATAAAAGTTACATATTATATAGTACAAATATACACAAATTCAAGCGCTTAATTTAAATGCACAATACACCATTAAAAGAAGTTAATTTACAAAATAATACTTTCATTTTTCTCCTTCGTTTTATGGGCAATTTACCATAATTTAGTTATGCTTTTTTTTAATTCATGCTGAAGCCGAACATCAAGTTGCCTACAATAAAAAGCATAAGTTTTACCCGCCCTCAACCCAAGCCAAAGAACGTATATTATGTTCTTTTCAAAGTGAATTATTACCGTAAGAGGCTAACAGCTATTTCAAAATATAAAATATGCACCGCAAGACTCTTTTTAAATCGGGAAATGTCTAAGCTGGCAACACTTTTATCGGTGTGACTCCTAAAAACTGATCCAGCAGCCACAGGCTTATTGTGAAATAAGAATTTGCTGGTGCATGAAGGTTTTCTGGCTACGCATTGAGTTCATTGAGTTAATTTTTAATAAGTGAAGAATCTTTCAAAAATGCCCAAACTAAAGCAAAATGATCCAAAGCGCAAAATAGATATTAATAGAAAGGTTCTGATTAAAAGTATTAACTAATGAAAATGAAATATCTCGTAATATTGAAACCGATAGACAAAACATTATTTAAAAATGTTCTTAGAATTCTATATGCACATGCAAAATTAAAAAAATTACCTAGTAATTAATGACTCATATTTAATCGCATACGTAGATAAATATGTAGGTAGTAAACAGAATTTAAACGAATCAGCTGTTTGACATATGTCATGTCAAACAAAGAATGACAGACTTAGTTTATTTATGTGGGAAGTGTCAATTTCCCTTTCGCTACACTGCTGTACAACTTTTAAGAAATGAGTGAATCTGCTATACTACACATTCAGACAGTGATGGCTAAATAAAATTTACTCGTTTGTGTATATATTTCGATAGACATAGATATCTAATTGAGGCTTTATAACCGCTGGTTTAAAATTATATAAAACGGCTTTATAAGTTTAATGTATGATTATATATATCATTATTATTTCTTTACAAATTTGTATAATTTTTTATTGATATACATATGATTTTTTATTTCTTATTAACTTTCTTAAAGTATTTTTTCCCATTATTATAAAAAAAAACTTTCTTTTTTTACAGGCTGTGAGTAAATTCAGGCTGAAAAAGCGAACTGAACTTGAACAGCGTAAAATAAACTTACAAATCTTACCATCTATAAACGCCGAGCTAAGAAAAAAAATTGAAGAGGAAATGTGGGAATTACGCGAGGTGCAAGCTCAGTTGCGTCTGTTTGAAATACCTGAACCTGAAGCAACAGATGAGGAGGAGACTTAACACTGTGATACTTTAAAAATCTGTACAAATATCATATATGTATGAATATATGAAAAATTGGAATTGAAATAAATATTCTATTCCATCTTTTATTAAATAAATGCAAGTAAAGTGTGAATTTATTTATTACGTGACATAAAAAAAGTTCTCTCATTACAATATAGTGTAGGACTTCACAATTCAGTCTTTAGAATAAAAAACCATAATTATTAATTGGTCCGGAAACAAACAAAAATAACAAAATTATTACCCTGATTCATTTATTCAAATCATAATATTTTATACCACTAATTTTTATTTATAAATTTAATTTAATAAACTCGAGTTAGAATTTCTATAATATTATCACAAATTATGATGATGGTGTTTATGAAATGAAATATCATTTTAGAGTTGTGGATCTGAACATATTGTATATGAAGAAACATAAAGACTCGTTTAATTTCTTTTTATTCATAGTGAAATATTTAATAATTGCCCTCAGTTACTCAGGCATAATAACAATTAATACAAAGACATGCACCCCTGCTTATAATTTGACATTTTCCTCTTCTTTGAATCGTCTTTGGCTCGACATTCGCATTTTGGAATTTCACAAGTGTATTGTTTTGTTGCGCATTTCCCATTATTCGTTAGTTGCATTGAAATAAAATTTTACAATTTTAACAAACATCCAGTCGTTGGTGCCCCATTTTAGACAGAAAATAGTATAACTAAAGATAAAATGCCTGCAAGAAAGAAGACTGGTAGTGGTGGCGGAAGTGGCAATACATCGGACGCGTCCAAATATGATGATGATGCATACCGAGAAAAAAGACAAAGAAACAATGATGTAATTATATTAATATAATAATTTCTTATATATTTTAACTATATACTTTTTAACACATACAAATTTTAGGCCGTAAAGAAAACACGACAAAAGTCAAAAGAAACAGCAACCGAACGTAAACGCAATGTAGAACGTCTCAAAAATGAAAATATTAAATTGGAAGCGTCTATTAAAGAAGTGAAGGAGCATGTGGAAACACTAAAAAGTTTATTGTTAAACAATGTGCAAAAAAAAGATCACGAAATTGTATTGCAACGGATATTAAACGAAGCCACAGATGATGAGGGTGACAGCTTGGATGGAACATGAGTTAACGGAAATAGGATTGTTGAGACAACACCTATGAACCGTTTGTGTGCTGAAAAGCTTCAAAACTATGATCAAAGATATTTGGAAATCAGATTGCATTAAAAATTGAACATAATTTATATATGTTAGCAAATCATCTATTATGATTAAAGTTTGTTCTAACTCTATTTCCTTTTTTTAAATGCTATGTACACATACTCGGTTGAATTTATCATTCGCATATTTAACTATTAAAACTGCAGTAGATAATAATTAAAAATTATAATAAAAAACATTTTGAACTTACCATCAAAAATGTCGAGTTTTCCTAAATGTAAAGAAAATACTTCGTCCATTTTGTGTATATTTATGTATTTACAATACTGATGTTTGACCAGAGATAGTGTAGTATTTCGTATTTTGAGCAGTTCTTGGTCACGACGTGTTATCGTATGTGGCGTTGACTATTTTAGATATACTGCTGATAACATTATAAGAGCAAATATATACACGCTGACGTTAACGTGTACATAATAATACTGAATTAATAGAAGAGGCCAAATATTTTAGCAGCGTTTGCACATTTTCTATTACTTTAACGCGCTTTCATTTCCCTTCTACCGTTTCTTGGAGGTGTTTATTTACCTATAGAAGGTAATCGGCGATTACACTTGCTATGTACTTCTTGAATTGATTTGTTACAATAATTATTTTTCTTTTGTGGTTAGGTTATCTTGTCGCTCAATACAAACTCAAAGTTGAAAGATGCAGCAGATAAACCAAGAGTAAAGTCTGAACATGATGTCTTTCGTGGATGTTCCTCCTATTGGGTAAAAATGCACATATATGTACATCTATTTTCGCTGTAAGATTAGAAAAAAATGGTTATGAACAAAAAGCAATTCACTTTTCCATGTGGGCGGGTACAAATTATACACTCATAGTTGCATATAATAGTGACAAATGATTTACTGCAATGGAATAGGTGACTAAATACAAATACACCCAAATCCATATACTTAGTGAAAATTAATTGAAAAATCTAACACTGTTGTGAGTTTAAGCAATTGCTTCCGTTAATTTGATACGCTTATACAGCTCGAATCAACCGGTCACTAATTGTGCTAATTTAAATAGTTTATCTTGTTAGTGAGTTTTACAAATACATATGTTTGTATGTATTTACGGGATGGCTATTACATTTTGATACGAAAACAACAATCTAAAAACTGAATTGTTTTTTTTTATATATTTATGTAGACATGTTGTGCACATATCTATGTATTTTTTTTTATGTCAATTAAAAACACTCCCTATCACTCAAAATGTTTTTATGGCAGAGGTTTGGCCAGTATTTGAGGATCAATACGTCTCCAGTAAATATCATTCCCACATTCTAGCATGAAATGATAGCAATTATGGTACGGACTATCTTCTTTTAATAAAAATATGAAGAAAAATTCATTCAAACAAATTTATATACATATGTATATGCACATGCAATGGACACAATGAATTTCCGGTCGATACGTTTGTTTTGAGAAATAATTGCTAAACAATCTGTTATTCAGCGGATAATATATTGTCGTGTACACATAAGCTATACATAAATGTATGTATGTGGTTATTCTTTTTCAAAACGTCTGTAATGTAGCAGACAAATTTTGCTCCACACTTGACATTGATTTTCACGAAAATACACCTTGAATATTTAATTTATTTCTTTTTTTTTAATTCTTTAATGCAAACATTTCAGAATGAAATAGAATCGAACTCTGTTCGCTTGCAGAGTACACTGAAGAAGATTGAAACACATAGACCGACAAAAATGCACTCAGTGCATCATAGAGCAACCGTTTTGTCATGCCAAAACATACTATATACAAACGTACCTATGTAAATACATATGTATATATGCGAAATTATACGTGAACAACTTACATACATACCACTTTTAGCAAGTGTTCCTATAAACAGATATACAATATGTATTTAAACTTGTATAACAATTTGTAAAGTGCATAAACGGTAGCGCAGTAACCAAGAATGAATGAAGAATGACAACAACATAACAACGGCAGACAACGGCGTTGAAAATAATTGCATAAAAGCCCCGAGCGGTTTTTCATTATTCTTTGCTGGTGGCTGAAAAACCTCCCGTTCTTTGATTTTCCTATACACATAGTATCGCTAATATTAACTATTTGCTCGTAGTATTGACTATAAAATATTTTCATTAATTACACTTTACCATTGAAGTCCACTAATCATATACGTAACTATTTTTTGTACATGCATTTATATTTTTCGATTCTAATACAGTGTTTCGCTAAAAAAAAAAAATGTCAATTTCCGGGAGCCATATTGATCGCATTTAACGTATAACAAAAAGCTCGATAGGCTGTGAACTTTTATTTGCGATATTTGTTTGTAGTTTCTTTACTCATTAATTTCGTTTAAATTTAAAGTTTTGTCTACTACCTACTTTCCAACGATATATCGCAAATTCGTGTTATAAAATTTCTTTTTTAACACTTGGAAGTTGTAAAATAATCGGTATTTTAAACGATTATTTTACCGAAGAACGTATATCCTACGTTTCTCTGGTAAAGAAATGTCAAACGAAAACAGCTGTTACATGTAATGAGTGAATACTCAACGCATATGCGTCATGAATCATAATTGAATTGCATTGACTTGCAGCACTTAACATAAAACTAAGCCTTTTTTGTTAATTGTAACAAAACATTAATAAAATAAATAATTTAGATATAAGCAAAAGAGGTAATGTGTGGTGTGTATTCAAAAAGTGTGCATATTGCTTACAGATTTGTTCACAGGCACAAATATAGGTGATTCAATGGAAGATCAAGACAGTATTTTAAATAAAATTGAGAATGGTATTTATACACTATCACGAAAGCATAAACGTAAAAGCGGAATTTGGGACATCTTTGCAGAAATAAAGAAGGATGATGGTTCCATAGCAAAAGGATATTTGTGTTGCTTTAAATGTAGTCGCCTGTTTAAATTTGACGGTAGAAGTATATCAAACTTCAGACGTCATACGTGTTTCCGAAAGATTTCGCAAGGAATGTCCTTGCCTGATAAAGATCCCTTATTGCACGAACATGCTTCAATAGAGTATGAACACGAGGATAAAGACGTTCTTAATATTTTGCCAGATGCCGCACAGCCAAATGAAGTACGTTTTAGTAATCAATTTAAATGTATATGTATATATAATAAGTATATAAACATTTTTTGCAGTCATACTCAGAACAATCGTTATTTTCTCAAAGTGAAAGCAACAACAACAAAATATCACCTCCTCATAATGATGGACCTAAAACGGGACCTATGCATACGGAGCAACTAAATAGTCTTTGCGACATGATTAAAGTAGATTTGCAAGATGTCCCGGATGAAGTCTTTTTTGAGGCAAAATGGAAAATAATGGATATTTTAAGAGACGTTCACAGGAAAAGACTCGAATGTGAACGTCAAACATATTCACGTTACTACAACTTTAAACAATCAAGCCAAGCTGCTCCCATCAGCTCAAATTCTTTTGCGGGCCATAGCTACGATCAGCAGACGTATTGATTTGAAGTTTTACTGTACCTAACCGAGAGCAGATTTAAAAATTGGTTTTTAAGGTTAGCAATAAATATAAGTAATGACACAAGTATTGGGCACAATGCGATCGCTCTTAATACATGTACATACAAGTAAGATGATTAAATTTTAATATATACATATATTTGTAGTTCAAAGATTTCCTACACGTATAAAAAAATAAAATAATATATTCTTTTTTACGAATTTTTAAAAAGTTAATTTAATCAGACACTTATACGCTTATGTATGTGTATATAATATTCGCAAATATTGTAAAAAATAGTTATGTAGGTCAAGTACAGGGTATATTAAAGCTCTAAGAGGGAATACATACACATATATGTGAGGACACAAATACATATATGAGTACATATTAACGACATAAAAAGCGCATATCGCTCTACTGCTTTCATAAATGGTTTTTTAGTTGTGCATACATATAACGATATATACTTATGTGAATAACTAAAAACTATTGTTATCAAATGAGATTTTACAGACGAAAGTCAGACGGTCGTCGAACAAAGCACCAGAGTTCTTGTAAAGAGATTTTAGCTGCTAAGTAAAAAAATTTAAAAAAATGGATTATCGCTCAATATTCGTGAATTCTTGGTTTCTAAAAAACTGGAAATTCATATTGATTGCATTGGCAGCAATAGTTATTGGAAATCTTACAAGACATGTCACTAATAAAATTTGTGCAAGGAGAGAAAGGGCACAAAAATATAAGAATAAAATACTAATGTCCGATGGTGATGAATATGAGGGCAGTAAGTATTAAAACACTTTTGAAATCGTGTGAACTAATGTTTCCCCTTTAGCTGAATTAACTACCAAAAATGCTCTCAATGATATTAAAAGCCCACAAGAAGACACTAGAGACATCAAGTACGTTCCTGCGCTAAAAGTAGAAAATCATGTGCCTTTTAGAGGTGCCCAAGTAACTCTTCCCGCTGGCGCAAAACAATTCTATGAATTAGTCAACAATCGTCGCAGTGTTCGCTCATATAAGTCGAAAAGGATTCCCCCGTTGGAAGTAATTGAAGACTGCATACACGCAGCTGGTACATCTCCCAGTGGTGCACATACCGAACCCTGGACATTCTGTGTGGTTAGTGACAATAACATGAAGCTACGTATACGGGATATTATCGAATTAGAAGAGAAAATTAATTATGCCCAACGTATGAATCGTCAGTGGACAACCGATTTGACACCATTACGCACGAACCATATTAAACCATATCTAACAGATGCACCGTATCTAATTTTGGTTTTTAAACAAATTTATGGTTATTTACCTAATGGCGATCGCAAGCAACATTACTACAATGAGATATCGGTTGCAATCGCTACAGGCATTTTATTATGTGCTTTACAGGCCGCCGGTTTGAATTCATTGGTGACTACACCGTTGAACTGTGGGACTGCATTGCGTATATTGCTTGATAGGCCTGAAAATGAAAAATTACTTGTATTATTACCGGTGGGATATGCCGCCGAAGATTGTGCAGTGCCTGATTTGAAACGAAAAGAACTAAAGGATATAATGAGTAAATACTAGAATGCAAATTTCTATATTTTTGTATATATATATATGTATAAATGTACGTATGTAATTATAAAAAGGCATTTGTTAAAATGAATAGATGTGTAAAATCTACAAACGTGAAATAAGCGAACACTACTGCTTTGTGCTCAATTTTGCACCCTTGAGTAATTGCACTGTTGGAATATCGTTTCAATATTTAGCCCAATAAACCATTATGTACGATAATTTTTTGCGTTTTGGCATACTATGCATTAAATTTTGAATTATTGCAACAGGGTATATCGCCATTTGTGCTGTACACGATGTTAGATGTTGTTGTTGTTGTAACCGCAAAATTATTCCCCAAAGTACTTTTTGGGGAATGTTGCGGGAGTGACAGTCCTTGGCCGGATAAAAATCCGGGTCGTTCCGGTATAAAGACCCGACTGTCGCGGGAACTATTGGATTTTAGTCGCCTCTTACGACAGGCATACCTTACCGCGGGTAAATTCTTGAGCCCCTAACCCGCAGGGGTTAGATCAATTTGTTCCACTGTGAAGGCTTTTCTATTGACAGTTCTTAACAGCAGCTAAGCTCACCTACATATCAGCTGATTACATTTTAAAACGGAAGCAAAACATAATGGCAAACAACAAACGTCAAACAAGGCATAATGCAAAATGACAGTGCATCGGTGTGATCAGAGAATGTATATGTAAGTTCTCTGGTGTGATAAACGAACACGAATAGCAGTGTACAGGTATATGAAGCAGTATGAAGTAAATGGCATTTTAAAAATAACTACGCAGTCTGTCGAATAGGATGTCACGTCGTTAAACGCGTACATTGTTGTAGTGTAAATTTTTAAGAAAACCGTGAATATTTCTTAAAAAGAGAAAATAGTTTTTCTAACAATTTTTCGCAATTGTTTAACACGGATTACGTGAACATTTTTCGTTTTCAAAAATTGTTGCTGAGCAAAGTTCGGAATCCGGGTTCGGTGAAATCGTACTTGATGCATAGATAATGTGAGTGAGTGTAATATAAAGTAAAAGTTTCTGGCTAAAATTCATGGTTTGAAAACAAGTGAGAGAGAAAAAGACTAAGAATCTTCCAAAAAAAAGTTCGGTGGCAACAAAACAATCTGAAAATTAATGTAGTTTTATATTGAAAAGCAAAAATATATAAAGTGAAATTTTCCCTTATTAATTTTTCTTATTTTCATTCTTACTTGCGCTGTCATCATCATTTTGACAACTCTCCACGCTTTTGGGAATGTGCGTATGTGTTGGAATGGCGTGGTGTGTAATGCTTTGTGTGTGGTAAAGTGGTGAATTTGTATACTAGCGGTTGCCATTTGAAGCAAACAAAAGCAAATGCAAAAGCAAAAGCAAAGCGGTAAATAGGCGCGTATAGAAGATAATTAAAGTTGTTATCAAATATTGAAATTAAATACTAATTGTGCCAAATGCAACAAACAACCATAGCATTGATGAACTAAACAACATGAAATCGAAAGAGATAATACACTCGGATGAAAGAAATAAAATTAAAGTGTTTAATATAGCATCTGCTGTTCAGAAGTGTTGAGTTTAAATTAATCTAAAATTTAAAATATTAATATTTATTTTATCACTGCCTGGATTAATAACTTATTATAAAGGTGAGAGTAAATGGGAGAGCAGCTGAAAAAAGCGAGTGTAACCCTGTGGGTGGAGTTGTATTTATATACATGTACATAGATAATAAAAAAACGTATGTATGTGTATTGGTTGTAAATATGCGTTATGAAAACATTTCTTTCGTGGTTCTATGCAAGTTTACGGACTCCACTAGTAATGACAAGAAGGTAACACGTATTCCCAATTGGAGTTGATTTATTTATACCCGCAATTTACACATAGATTTGTGTGTGTTTTATTAGACTAATCGTAGTAAACTTTGAAATAAACAAAGTTTTAAAAAACATCCTTCGATATATTTCTGAACTTAATGACTCAATGAAATTTTTTTTTCAGATTCTGTGTAGTTTTGAAAAATGGGCACAGCTACAAAGGTGCTAAGACCAATATACGTATTCATAACATCAATTGCAACTAAAGCCACTGAAAAGTACACGACAAGTTGACCGCAGCTGTTACATATAGCATTTCAACACTTTGACGAGCCACTTTCCTCCCACCGTGTCTTCAGCCTTTATTTAAACTTGCCTTAATATAATTTTCCCAGCATTCGCTGTAGTAAGATTCCCATAAATTCCTCTGTTATTTTAAAACCAATACTAATATCAATCAATCAATTTGTGTTCGAATTATGATGGTGTTACTGATTAGTTTGCCATTCGGGAATGGGCTAACGAGTGTCAAAAAATTTAATTACGCATAATTGTCACAACTGAAAAATCATAAAAGAAAAAACTTCTTAAACAAAAAAATTTAGATACAATTTATACAAAACTATAAAAACTTGAAAGTTTTTAACTGAAACATAAAAATAAACCGAAAATAAATAGAAACACTGCAACGTATATATTTCAAAACTCTTCATAATGAGTCGATACTATAATAACAGTACGGGTGGTAACAGTACTAAAGCCCTTAATTTGACTGCCAATGCTACTGTCAAAAAGATGTCCACAAGACGGCAAGTTGAGCACGAAAATGGTTTCTATGACCAAGGTGCGGATGACAAGCATTTCATGGGTGTTGCTGGTGGCAGCGGTACCAGCAGTGGAAAACGCACCCGTCAGCCTTCGGCGGAGCAGTATGTGAACGGTGGTCGCAGCAAGCGACAAAAGGTAAACATGTGGACATCGAATTCCACAACATTACCAGTTAACGCTCATATTGCTACGCATGGCGAAAGCAAATATCCACGACAAGGCGCTTTAACGACTACAACAACTAATAACAAACAAGAACAACGTAACCAATACTATTCCAATAATAACACTAAACGTTATGCACAATCTCAAATGCTAGCACAGCAATATCAACCACAGCATCAACATCAACAAGTTAGCAGTACATCGTCAAATAAAAAATCTGCAACTAGTAATAACAATAACAATAATATTAATAACAACAAAAACACTTACTATATGCAACTCAATGCAAAAACAAATACATTACCCGTGGCTGAAACAATCGAAGTGCCTGACAGCAGTGATAGCGATAATGATAATGATAAAGCTGATAAAAAATTGCTAACACAGGGAGCCAATAACGAACATTTGGCAAATGGTGTAGGTGGCAGTAGTGGTATGCCGACGCTTATTGTGAGTGGTAGTAGCAGCAGCAACAGCAATAGCAACAGTAATAGTCACTCAACGACTACTACTCATGCACAACAACACCAGCAACAAAACAAATTCAAGTATGAACAGCAGCAACAACAATTGAATGCCAACGGCGCCAGTAGCAGTGGTCAAGCATCAAGTAAAAATAGGGAAAGCAGTCGCAAAGGTGATGCTTCCAGCGGCAACAATAATGCAGATTTAGAACGCATGCAACGTGAGATTGAAGAAGTTACACAAGTTCACACCAAATGTAAGTACCTATAATTTGACTTTATCACAACTATAACTATAACTGTCTACAAATCAAGGAAGAGTTACTTTGCGTGATCGATGTAATGTCGTATGTTCTAAAGGTCAAGAAGTGGTCGATACAAGCACTAGTATCAATTTGACAAATTTTGTATATACATATTTACATACATGAATTTACACATGAAACAAACTCTGTTCTACCTTGCTTAATTACAATTTTTTTTCTGTTTAGTAAGAATTTTATTTCGCATTTATTTATACACTCGATTTTCTGTGAATTAAGCGCTTAGGCAGGCAGTCAGCATCAAGCAACTGGCTGGCTGGCTGGCTGGCGTATTTAAGTGGCACAAGGCGATTTTAATGTCATCATGTCTATGTATCAGGCAATTAAAAATGACAACACAGCAATCACGTTGCTGAAACTCACTTGGAAAACTTAAAAAAATATTTAGCATTGCATTATCCTAAAATACAGTAATATTATTTATAAACATATATATATACATATACATATGTATAATTGGCGCTTTGTAACCGCTGAAGCGATTTTCGGCCGAGCTGCTCTTCCAATTTGTGCTTTTTCGTCTTGATGTTGTTCCAACAAATGGAGAGACTTAGAGTTTATACAAAGCCACCTCCGAACGGCGGATGGTTTTTTATGAGGATCTTTATTTTATGTCAGAAATACACGCGGAGGGGTTGACAATCCCTGCTGAGGGACGATGGCAATTAGAAAAATTATCTTAATTTTTTATTTAAATTAATTTTCTATAACATTTGGATGTTGGTCGCACGGGAACTTGAACTCGAGCCTTCAGAATGGCAGTACGCGATGCTAACCACTCGGCTACCGCGGCCGCAACTATGCTATATATTTGTATAGATGTTTCTAGCAGATGCACGTAAAAATATTTATGGAACATCTTTAAAGTTTAATCCGTTGCTTTGATGAATTTACATGTGTCCTTAGTTTATTACAATATTGATTTCTTTGTTTAAACGTTTATACTTTTTGGGTGTTTACTTACAATTACAAAATTATACAATTATTTCAACTTAATAGTATATACATATGTATGTGTGTACATAAGTATAAGTCAAACTAGATGGTACATTTTTCATTATTCATTTTAATTACTTCTAAATACATATATCTAGCAAAGTTCGTACATACTTATGTATATTCTTAGTTATTTACTCTCGGTATGAACGAATACATACCTACATATGTAACGTGCATTTGTATATACGTGTATACTCGTCTATGTACAAATGTGGAATTTTATGCTATCTATTGTCGTTGCATTCTATGTATACATACGAGTTTATATACATGCAGGTACATACATATGTATATGCACAATCACTCATACTTACATGTTAGCCGTGTAATGTTGACTACTTTTGGCTATTGTTGTTGACTTTTGGGTGGGCGGTGTTGTTAGTGTTGGTGCCGACACCGGGGTCAGCAGCAACATTGCAAAAGTGGAGCACATGCTTTTGCAACCTTGACACATTTTATGCAATTTATGCTATTGCAGTTTGGATATTGTTGTTCGAGTATGCCAATGTCATATCACACAACACATTTTCGATGTGTATGCATATGTATATACATATGTACATGCATGCATAAGTATGTACGCAGATAGAAGTGTTATGATGCCTAACCACGTACATATGTATATACGATAAACACTTCAAGTTCGAAGAATGCGTGATAATTAGTCAAAAAGTTGACTGTTGTTATGTTAATGTGTTTAGTATATAAGTATGTATAGCTTATGCTTATATACATATATATGTGATTTAATGCTGTTGGTTAATTAGAAGAAAGTGAAAGATTTTCGAAAAATGGCTATATTATATCTTTGGTAAGAATTTCTTTAGGGAAAATAATAGAAATTAAAAAAAAAAATTTTAACTATTGTTTAAGGAGTGGGTCCACTGTATACGAAAAAACACATTTTTCAAGAATTTTTTCTATGTGGAAACAAACGTAATGCAATTATAATGTATTGATATATTCTTAGTTTCATATTTAAGTAGAATAAAATTTAATTAACAACAAAAAAATATTTTAAAATGGCGAAACTATGGACATTTTTGTAAAGTGATTTTATATCAAGGTGCTCCGCGGCTGCAGCACACAGGGTGCAAAATAGAAAATAGAATCTGCAACAAAGTAAATTTTTGTGTTTATTTACATGAGAATAGCTAGAGAATGGCGTACGGATTTTAAAAAAATATTGATTTTTGTGAATTTTGGAAGCATTTTTCGTTTTTTATAAGATCTTTTGTTCCTTATTCTAGAAGGTTCAAAGAATATGTTTAACCAATAAAAAAAGTAAATTGTCAAAGAATATTTTTAGCTAATTTTTTAAGCATCTACAGCCTTACCCCTTAAGAGAATTGAATATCTGTAAATATTAATTTTTTTTTCGAAAAACAGAGTATTTTCGTTTTTGTTCGAATAAAACTAATATAATTTGTATACTTGTGTGAACATGTGTCGAAAAATATTCGAAATTCTAAACGATATTTTCAGTGAGCCAAGCAACTTTTCAACTTTTTGGCAAATTTACGTATGTATATAGATATGCAGATGATTACCAATTCAGTCAATATCAGTACTCTAGTATATGTAGATATGTATACCTGGTAATAATTACTTATACTACTTGGGTGTATATATGAAAAGCACAAAAATATAAAATCAACGATATTCAAACAAAGTATGTCATAAAAACGTATAAATACATCATCAATACTTACCAAAGATACATACATATGTACATAAATGGATGGCGTATATATTTAAGTGCCACACCCACACCAATGCTATAATTTTTTTTTTTATTATTTTTGCGTACATCCGCCAGGAAATGTCTTTTCGTTTAAAGTTTTGTTATAGGAAATACATACAGATATGTACACAATATATACATACTTACTGAAATATTCTTATTTGTACATAATGTGAGCGCATACTGTTATTTATTTGCTTACCTTAAAGTATTAACTAATTGTTGTTGTATGCCACAGAACACTTAGTGTATGTATATAAAACTGTTGTTGTTATCTTATTTGGGACAGGTTGCGTACTATTGCCGATTGGTGTCATGCCCTATTTTTTCTACTCAACGCTTATCGCACTATTTAATAGTTTTTAATTGAATAATTATGATTTGAAGTCACCACTTACGATGTGCACATGCTGTTATATATGTATGTATGTGCATACATTTGTTTGTTTTTAAATGATATCTAGACTTTCTCTTTTATAAATAATTGTATATAAATATTAATATAAATAAGCGTATGCATCGAAGCTTTTAATATATTTTTTGTTTTAATACATTTTTTGATTTTCCTTTTTATCTGCTTCACAATCAACTCTAAATATAAACACCCCGCATAGTAACATAATGTTGTATTTTATAATGTACATATGCACGTATGTACGTGTACGTGCATATGTATGTATGTATATAAGTAGATATAGCCTTGGTGAATATATTTTTATTTAGTGTATTTTAAGATAAACGATTTGTATGCAGGTGCACATACATACATATGCATGTATATTAGACTCTTTCCTGTTACATACAAAGAAGCTTACCGTACACCTTCAATCTAAAGTACTGCTCAAGGGATCGCCTGGACAGAATATAATTATACCATAAGCTTTTGGTGGCAGCGATAGCCGAGTGTTCAGCATTGCGTGTGTTCGAGTTCTGGTCTGATCAACATTCAAAAATTACAGAAAATTTATTTAAATAGAGAATTAAGTTAATTTTTCTTATTTCGGTCGCCGCTCGTCAGGGAATGCCAACACCGTCGAGTGCATTTATGTCACGGCCCCTTCATTTGGAGCACAAATTGGAGTAGAAGCTCTGCACGGACTTGCAAGATGGGTTTAATACGAATTTTATTGAGTTTTTACGCAGTTTCTTTTATTCTAAATTATAAACTATTTTCTTAAAATAAATGAAAAATAAAAAAAAGTTTCTCACATATTAGTCTAGGCAAAAAGAGCTCTAGCTATGTTCCAGATATCAGGCAAATCGAGATATGAATACGTATAGATCTCTATTGACCTTGGCGCCGCTTCTCAGAAGAAAAAGTGTTCCCCAGGTCAATTTATGCAAAAAATCATCTGTGAACCGAATTTCATGTAAGACCAACGATTTAAAAATAAACTCAACTTTTCGATAAACCATTCTTATCGGGTGCCTACTTTATACACTGAATACATCCTTTCAAGTTTCAGCTCCCTACGAGCTTAAGCTGTGGGTTGATCCGTTAGTCAGTTGAAGAAAAAATCTTTTCTCTGTTATACATTTTAAGTTGCTCCAAAAGAAACCGTCGATAATAATGAACTTTAATCAATTATGTAATTTCCATTTTGTTGGATAACCTTTCGCCATTTGTCCGGCAACATCATTATTTAAGGCTCACAGAATTTTTGGCTTTCATGTGCAAAAGAACTAAATCAGGTGCGATTTTATAGCCCCGTCATTTTCGAAAGTTTTACCATTGAATGAGTTCTGTAAAGATCGAAGCAAATGGTAGTCTGACAGTGCAAGGTCAGGGCTATGTGATGGATGCGTTAACAGCTCCCAGCCATGATCTCTCATTTTTTTTGTGAGTGATCCAAAGATGTGTACGGTGTAGCATTGTACTGTTGGAATATGACATCTTTACGATTAACCAATTCTGGCCGCTTCTCGTTGATGGATGCATTCAATTTGTTCAGTTGTTCATAGTAGACATTCGAATCAATCGTTTGATTCCTTGGAAGCATCTCAAAATATACCACACCCTTTTCATCTCACCACATTGACAGCATAATCTTCTTGTGGTGAATGTCGTATATGATTATGAACGGTTGATTTTGGTATACTTAACTTCTCTCCAATCTCACGCTCAGTTACATGATTACACGATTCGATTCGATTAAAGCCTTGATATCGTCATCATAAACTTCACTTGGCC